CTACAGTGTACCAATATCCCCAGTGAAAAAAAAAAAAAAAAAAAAGTATTCAAAAAGTTTTGAGTTGGAGCATTTCAGATGTCCAAGCTGCATCCCTGTCAGCCTCTACGTAGTGGGTACTCAGGGAAAGTTTATCATGAAAGCCGCATAAACACACCTACTATAGGGTCCAGCAACCCCACTACCATCATTTATCCAAAGGAAATGAAATCAGCACCTCGAAGAGACATCAGCACTCCTATGTTCACTGCAGCATGCTCATGATAGTGAAGATATGAAAGTATCTGAACTCTCCACCCACAGATGCATGGGGAGAAAAATGTAGTACATGCAAAAGATGGAGTACTATTCAGTCCAGAAAAGGGAGCCTGTCATTTACAGCAACAAGGGTGGATCTGGAGGACATTATGTTGAATGAAAAATATCAGACACAGAAAAACACACCAGACAATCTCACTGATGTGCATGGCATTGATAATTGCAGTGTCAACTCGAATACAAAATGCCTCGCAGAGGCTTGACGTGTAAGCCACAGATTGAAGAGGGAGGACCCACCCTAGGCGTGAGTGGCACCAACCAATAGGCTTGAAGCCATGAGGGAATAAAAAGGGAAGGGAAGAAGGAAGCCTGCCCTCTCTGTCTTGGGAGGAGCTCAGCCTTGGTGTCACCCTCAGACGTGTACCCCAGTCCCTCAGGCTTTGGCACAGGCTCTCTGGCCTCCAGCACAGCCCCTCGGCTTCCTCACCGGGATCCATCCTAGACTCTGGTGAGCTCCGGGCTTCCGACCTTCAGCTGAGGTCTCGGTGCTGCACCGAGAGAAGTTCGCCCTGCACCCCGGGGCTTGATCCCGCAGGCCTGGTCCTGAGACCTTTCTGCGTCCGAGGCTAACACAGATGAGACTGGGCTCCTGCAGTGACACTGCAGCTACCGTGAGATCTAATTTCATCGCGGTGGGAGTGCGAAGCGGTACCCAGACATCGGCTGGAGGATGTGCAGAAATGTTGGTCAAAAGATGGAAGGGAGCCGCTCGCGAGATCTATCACAGCATGAAGGCCATAACTAATGTCACGGCACAAATTATTTAAATAATTGCTTGAAAAAAAAATGATGGAACTGGAGTCTGTTAGCCTCAGGGCCCCTTTTGGGTGGCAGTAAAAAATAAGACATAGTGGAACCTAGGTCTTCCCTCTTCTCTATCTATTCATTTTGATCTGTGGACATTTATGTTTCGCTGCATCTCGATGCCATCTTCAACACACGGTTCCAGCTAGGAACAGCAGACGCGTTTCCAAGAGCTTCCTCACTGCGGGCGGTCACGTTTCCGAAGTCCCTTGGGAACTTGCGTGGCCACTTGCACGAAACTCTTCCTCCCGGCTCTTTAATCCGGATGAGGGTAGCACCTGTCACCTCAGGCTCCTTGTGGGAAGGGAGAACAAACAGTGGCAGCTGGACCCGCGGAGTCACGGAGTGGGCTCATGATTCAGTAGCCGTGTGACAATGAGTGGGTCACCGTCTTTTTCTGGCTCTCCCTTGTTGGCCAAACCACCGCTCTCCCGCAATCTTTACCAAGACTGAAAACTATTCAGGTTGCTGATGCACATCGGGCCAGCTGCTGGGGGACAACTGCTTAGCTAGAGTAAGCTATTGTTTTGGTGAATGGAAACAGAAATCACTCGGGTTTCCGCCCTGGGAAACTGAAACCGAATTCTGCAAAATAGCAGGCGCCTGTGTAGTGATTGCCGATTATGCAAAGTACACAGTTCCAAGACCTTGAAACTGCGTTACCTAGAAGGAGTTGTGTAATACTGGGTGAAGTTCTTTACTTTTTTGACTTTGCTAATACGTGTGGAGAACAGGGAAAGGGATTCACACGGGACATTTTAAAGATTGGATGATACGATGTGGAGTAGACACTGAGGGTAGTATTTGGCATAGCGAATACGGGACATAGCTAGTATGGGGCTGGGTATGAGAATGCATGCCTATAGAAGCCAGCAAGCTGGAAGCTGAGGCAGGAGAACCGCTGTGAATTCGAGTCCAGCCTGGACTACGAAATGAGTTCAAGGCCAGCCAGAACTACAGAGCAAGACTTTGTCTCAAAAAACTAAAAAGAGAAAATCTAGCATGTGTCTGTCATATGTTATATTTTTCATGTGCTGGTTTATCTTACCACCTGTGGTAACACAGTCCAGAGAGAGTAGGAGAGGAATTGAAATGCAAATATTTGCAAGGATGCTCAGTAGTTGGTCATTAGTAACATGTTACTTTACTACTGTGGCCCAGGCCTCCACTATCCAGGCTGCTGTATTTTAGCTTGTTTTTTATTTTTTTTTGTGTGTGGGGGTACTGGGGATGGAACTCAGGTACTCAGCAGCACCACTGAGCTAAATCCCTGGCCACAGAATGCTTTATTTAATCAATCACTAATTTATTCATTTCCTCATTCAGATATTCAGAAAGGCTTTTTCTTTGTTTCCTCTTCCTTCTTCCTTTCAGCAAGTATTTATTGAAAGACTCCTGTCTATTAGATAAAAATATTACTGCATAAATAGATGAGTTGAAATCCACGCTTTTGCAGAAGTCACAAAAGTGACAGTGGCTTTGCTGCTCCTTGAGCACAGGTTTAAGCCCCTCCCTCTCCTTCCAGCCGAGTTCAGCCCACCCCGGGGCAAGGCTGGAGCAGACTTTGTCTACAGTGTGTTGGGTTATTTAAAGCAGACACCATGAGCCACAGGGCTGGGATTGCACCCTGAGAGCTGGATCAGGGTCTTCACAAGTACGACCTTGAACTTCTTCTGTTTTATTTTATTTATTTATTTTTCTGCACTGGGGATTGAACTCAGGACTTTGTGCTTGCAAGGCAGGCGCGTTGCCACTGAGCTAAACCCCCAGCCCTTGTCTTTCTTCTTTTCATTCCTTCTTCTTCCCTTTCCTCCCTCCTCTTCTTCCTTCTCTTCCTCCTCCTCCTCCTTTATTTTTTCAGTACTGGAGATTTAACCCAGGGCCTTCACACTGAGCTAGATCACCAGCCCTTTATAATTTTACATATTTACTTAGTTTTATTTTGAGACAGGGTCTCCCTAAGTCACCAAGTTGCCTACATAGGCTCAAACTTGTGATCCTCCTGCCTCAGCCTCCCACAGTACTGAGATTATGGAATTTCCTTCTCAGCAAACTTCCGAGCCTGCAGTTCACTGAGCTCACTAGATTCTACACATTCCCAAGATACTCTCCCAGCCTGCATTTCACTGGCCTCTCCTGAAAGTTCTAACAGCGGCAGATTGGATGGAGGCAGGTTCTACTTGTCCCCTGATTGTTTCCAGGCTCCTGGTTTTCCCGTTTTCCCTGTAGCTGCCTGAGCTCAGGGAGAAGGAAGCAGCTGCAAGGGGAAGAGGTCCTCCCAAGTCACGGCTCAAAGTGCCCTCCCCATCAACACGGATGTGGGCCTGGTCTGAGGTTAAGGCTGCCCTGCTCCCTCTTTGCCTTTTGATAGTTGGTCATCTTTAAAAGAACTAAGAAACTGAATAACAGCCAAAAGTCACCAACATACCTGTAGCTGGGACCTCTCCCCCACGTACCTGCTCATCTACAGTGCTCTCCACTGGCCCTGATAAGGATCGGGTGCTGGCAGGGGCTGCCATGTGCGGAGCACTCTGTGATCTGTTCCCTTTGATCCTGTTTTTTCTCTGGGAAGTCTTTCCTCAAAGCGTAACTGTCACATAGAGAGACACTGCACTGGTAAAGACAAGATGTAGCGAGCGTTCGCAGGAGGATGAGCTGTCCCTGGCCTTTCTGGTGAAAACTGGACTTCAGCAAGACCTCACAGTCTCCACATCCCTTCCTCAGGCACCGAGCCTACCTCTGCCGGGACATACCCTGGCCCTCTTCCTCAAAACCACGCTCTACATTGAATGACTGAAAGCCCTGCACATAGGACTACACTGTATGTATCCTTTAATGTCTCGCCTCTTCGGCTCAGTGTCATATCTGCAGATTCATCCAGTTTGATGCATTTGACAAGGGTTTGTTCTTCTTTTCTCTAATTGGTGCATTTTAGGTACAGTCACATTCATCGCTGGATTCTTGTACCTTTACATGACGTATCTCAGTTCCTATTTTTCCCTGTTCCCCTGACCTCCCTTCAGCTCCTCCACCCTTTCCTATTTACAAAACTTTGTTTCTATTTTTCCTTTTCTCTTATTTTTTCATTTCCCTTCTTAGCTTTCCCCTATCCCTCCCACTTCCCCTACACCTTTAAACCATTTTTCCTATCACACAATATCAATTCCACATTTTGATTCTTATTTACACTTTTAGTTTATCACACCAGAGAAACTATTTGGTATTTTCCTACTGTATAGTATTCCGTGAAGAGAATGCAAAGAGAATTCATTCATCACTCCATGAAGATGCAACATTGGAATGTTCTGCTATTGGGCCACAAATTTCCTCCACAACTTTGGGTCCACACATGTGTGCCTTTCTGCTGGGTTTGCAAAACCACTTAGTGGAATCCCATTAACAACAAGACCCCTGGATGATAAGGGACAGACACTCCCCAAGGTGCCTGTTGCCAATGGCTTTCCAAAGTGGTAAAAATTATCAGGTCTCTGGTCACTCATACTTTAGCCTTCACTTGCTGCTGTTGTTGTTTTTCACTTTGGTTCATCTTAGCCGTGAGCACAGGCTCATGTCACCGTCTTATTTTGATTTTCCAGTTTTCTGCCGGATTATGTGGTTAAGCACCTTTTTATATGTTTTGTGAGCCACGTGGGTATTATTTTGTTGTGTGCCTGTTCAAATCACTTGCCCATTTCTGTATAGCGCTTTCTGCATTTTGTTGATTTGTTGGAATTCATCGTGTATTGTGCATTTTGTCAGTTACATGTGTTGCAAACGCCTTCTTGAGCTCTTTAGCTTTCTTTTTGCTAATTATGGGTCTAGAATTCTACTGGTGTGTGTGCGCATGCCTGCACATGTGTGTTTAAATAGGTGAAATATCACAGTTCTTTAAAATGACAGCACTCTTTCTGGGGATATTTACTTCTTTTTCATTTGTGTGTGTGTTGGGGTGTGCTTTAGGGTCTCAGGACCACCCTGGAGCTCGCTGCTGTAGTCAAAGAAAGGTACTCAGGTCACTTGTATTCTGGATAAAGGAGGTAGGGAGGGAAAATTCCTGGTAAACAGATTGGAGAGGTGGACAAGGGTCAGTGTCCCTCCCCACCTGAAGGGTGGCACCTGGACTGCTTCCTTTTAAGCAGTGAACTTTGGGGCCACGTGTGAAGTCACTGGCTGGACCCTTGAGCTCTGAGCTTCTCTGAAGGTCTGGACACAGTGCCTGTCCTGCATGTGTCCAGCTGTGGTAATCAGACTCCAGGATGCAGGAACAAATGTGCTGTGCACCGTCTGTCTTGGTGCTTGTGCTCAGTGACCCAGCAGGCTGGTGTGGGCCGAGTCTGCACTCATTAGGAGAGAGCTGCGTCTCTCTTTGGGAGGTCACATTGCTAGGGCGTGGGCAGGGGTCGATCACGCCTGCGGGTCTCACAGAGGCAAAGGATGGGCACAAGGCCTGTTGGGTGAGCATTTCTTCCCAGAGAGCCACACAGATTTCATTGCTTAGAGAGAAAACCAGCTCCATGACACACCACAGGCCCCAAACTGGGAAATCAGAAATGCACAATCCCACAAAAGAGACGGAAACACCTGGGGTACGTAAAAGAGGACTTATGCATTCCTTGAAAGTTACTTGTACACTTGTTTATTGCTTTTCAAACCTCTTACCAACTTCCTTCCTGGATTTGAATTTAAAAATCCCACTCTTTCTTGCATATACTTCTTTAATTCATATTTTCTGAACTTCTCACTTATTTCACAATGTTCAAGTATGTTCATGTAGAATTGAATATAATATTCTCTTTCTTTTGGGGGTCCTTTTTATTAAATTTGAGGTTCCATCTTCTTGACTATTCTTTTTTTCCCACTTGAATAAACTACCTAAAACACATCTACTTCAGCAATCTTTCCTAAATGAAGCTTTTTAATTTCATTATTAATATAT